ATGCCCCGCCAAACCTCATAAATATAATCACTTTAAGACGTACTACAGTGTCAAATCACAAAACTTTTCAATGACAATAACATTTTCCCGGATCATGTATTCGCTTAACGCCATCGCAAAAGGTCATATAGAGGCCAGTGGTCGTATAAAATAAATACTGATCACAGCAGTATAATATTTTCCAACAAAATCAAATCTAAAAAGGAGACACCAGCAAGTACATCTATCATAATGTGTTTTAATATTTTCGCCAGGACATCAAAAAATGCTCTCCTTATTATTACAATCTCTAATTTCAACTTAACATGGGTCCTCTTTTGGTCAAAAGTTTGTTCCCTCCGAAATGCGAGTGTGACGAACAGGATGCATAAGGGTTTAGTTTTAGAATAAACTTGAGTTGAGTTGCCTATGCATGCAAGGGAAATGAACTTCTAGGCAGTAATGTACATCCTCACATTATAATTCCGTATAATGTATTTTAATGTTAAGCTCATAACGCGTCCATGACGTCGTAAAAGGCGACTAACGGGATCGGGTGGTCAGGCTCGCTGACTTGGTTGATGCATGTCATCGATCCCAAATGCGTGGATTGATGCTCATGATATCAATCACTTGATTGTCTGGTCCAGACTCGATTATTTACAGACCGCCGTCATATAGCTGGAATATTGCTGAGTGCGGCGTTAAACAACAAACCAACCAACCAGCCAACCATGACACGGATATTACCTAGGCAATTACAGAAGGCAATATACAGGAGTTTAGAAAAAACTGAGGGATTATCACATGTACTCTTTTTTAAATACTTTCTTAAAGTAGATTATTTTAGTGATTCTATAAATATTTTAATGTCCATCATTCTAAGCCCACCATCAGCATAATTTTTTTTCAGATTTTGCCTTTTAATTTTATCTGGTTTATTATTCCATAAAAAACTAAACAAAATTTTAATTAAATTTGTAATAAAATCTTCTGGGGGGTTTGGCAGTGCCATAAAAATATGGACAAGAGTTGAGAGAGCCAATGACTTGATAACAGTAATTTTACCTATAAGAGTCAAGTTTCTTCTTCTCCAGTTTGCCAATAACCTATTTATTGTTTCAAGTCTTTTTCGGGTATTGATAACCCATAGATCTTGCAAATGGGGGTTGATTAAATAATTACCCCAAAGAAGAGGAAACGTCAAATGAGAACCACCGATTGCTATATAACATACGCCATCGGCCGTACACTGGCGTTATGTGCAGGGTTGGTTGGTTGGTTGGTTGTTTAACGCCGCAATCAGCAATATTCCAGCTATGTGACGGCGGTCTGTAAATAATCGAGTCTGGACCAGACAATCCAGTGATTAATATCACGAGCATCGATCCACGCAATTGGGATCGATGACATGCATCAACCAAGTCATCGAGCCTGACCACCCGATCCCGTTAGTCGCCTTTTACGACAAGCAGAGTCACCTTTTACGGCAAGCATGGGTTGCTGAAGACCCATTCTACCCCATTCTTCACGGGTCGTTATGTGCAGGGACAGATCTCGAGGTTGTATACCACTAATTGCACCTTAAAGGAATACACCGATTACCAGAAGAATAACGACAACGGTCCCAATAGTTAGACAGCTTATAACAACACTTTAAACGGTTGAGTGCACACTAATCCTTATGCTTGTTACCTCAGACTTTAAAATTGAATAGTCCAGATAAGACCTGACAAAGTAAAGCAGCTTTAAATAGATACTTTAATATTATACTTGACATTTAATGACACTTTACATTTGATAAATTTTATACAGTTTGTAACAACACTTTGTGACAGTTTTTGGTAATGTACACTTTACATTTAATAACTTTTACAGTTTATTTATCCCAGACGAAGCAAGTGTCCACAAGCATCTAAATACTCAATAGCAGTCTTGCAATTGTCATTCTGCTGCAGCTGATCTTTGAGGCGTACCAGGCGGTTCTCTGTCTCTCTGTAGATTCTCTTGCGGCAGCGTTGTGCCGCACCAAAGTTCAATTGCATCACCTTAGTCCTTTCACTGAACTCGACTTTCTGGATGACTCTGGCATGCATGATGTATACTTGATCCCATAAACCTGGACATGGACCTGGACATGCTGTGAAGGTACCATCCATGTAAAAGGTGTCAGCTTCCTGGAGGGCTTGTATCTGTTCTGCAGTGGAGAACGCCAGGATCTTGTCATCGTCGCCGTCGCTGAACAGTAGAAAGGAACGTCCATCTGTTGTCTCTGACCATTAGTCTTCAATATCTACTGCTGACCGCGACCTGGGTAACGCTGGAATGGTCTTGCGACGATGCCTGAAAAAAAGTTAATTCTTACCAAGTCAAAAATACGGGATGATATTTACCTGTAAAGTGCATTTTTCACGCTCTGAAATGATGGCATCGCTGGGATGTTGGCTTCATCTACTTGAGTGACTTGCTCCTCGTGCAATGCCCGCATCTGTGTGGTTTCTTCTCGCGCTCTTTTACGAAGATTGCTGACAAAGTTCACTCTGGTTTCATCGTCAGGTGGAACCTGTGCTGAGAGTAAGGTAATGTAGGTAAATTAAACGAAATTGTAACATATATACTCCCTAAACTGTGAGTCCCGTATCCCTACGCAGTACTTTAATCAAATTAGGACTGATCCATTACACCTGTAGGTATATTCCCTCTTTTGCCTAAATAAAAACGTCTAACTACTGGGATATAACCACACGACAACCACAGGTGATAGGGTTATAATTACAACATAAAGCTGTCACGGTTTGGCATGTGGATACCTTACTAATTGCTGCTTAATTATGTACATAACGTACAATCGATTAACTATAACTGGCAACAAATGTCGAACCTGTAATAGCCATCAGTGGCAGAAACTCAAACTCCAAGCCAAACACAGTCAACAATATTCTATACGAATATACAAAACCACGGACCAAGGGCAACAGGTGGAGCTGTGTTGGACCCCTCTCACATAGATATTCATGGAAATGAAAAAGCAGACTCACTGGCGAAGCTAGCTCTAGACAAAGCGGATATACAGCCTATTTCCTTTAGTAAACTAGAGATAAAAATCAAAATCAAAGCCTCCATAGCAGAAAGATGGCAAGCCCAATGGGACGCAAGTAAGATCGACAGATGGCTATACAAAATGCAACCCAAGGTCCAACAAAAGCCAAACTCATATTCAAATGAAAGGGAAATTGAAACTGCTATCTCACGCCTCAGACTCGGTCACAAAAAGCACTATGACATGTTTTTTTCATCTTGCAATCAGGCTGAATCCATTGCTCATGTGTTACTAGAATGTCAAGACCATGCCCCAACCCGGTCTAGGTTAAAACAAGAATTGCAGTTAGATCCGCTATCTGTCATAGATCTCCTAAAGCCAAGAGATGCAATGGCGAAGGCCAAACTAACTATTTCTGAGAGATGGACAGCTACTCGAACGTATATAAACAGAGCAGCCAAGGATAAAAATGAAATCATATCAATATAAGAAAATAGAAATCATATCAATACAAAAACAGAAATTATGTGAACACCAAACTCACAATAGATATGTGTACCCCACTCACACACATGAGTCCCAAAGAGGGACAGGTCAGCCGAAATTGCTAAGGCAGAAGGCGACCTCTTAAACACTTAATGCAACAACAACGAACCTGTAATGTTCACTTAATACCCGCGTGAGAATGGACATAGGTATACGTATATGTTTCAATTAATCAGATGAGTCTTCATATATTCCGTTTATCCTCACTTTGCCACCAGGCTGGTGGGGATTAACAGTGGTGGTGTTTTCACAAGGAAAGGGAGCATGTCCCTAACAGTGAACACGGTTAACCTCATGAGCCAGCAGGTTGATGGTAGATAAGTAGTTTTCACTATATGAAAGTATTAAATCATTTAGAAAACATTTTGAATTTGGAGTGATTAACAATTGGCATAGTGGTAAGTTAAGTGAGTGATCAGAAATCATTGACATAATTTCCCCATTGCAAAATGGCAAACGTGCAGGTAAACGTCGAGTTCATTCCCAACATCCGTGGCGGTCGATGGCTTGTATATGGGGTCATAAGTACCTTCATCACCACAAACCTAAATAACCACCTCAAAATAATTAGAAAACACGCAACAGGAACCTGCCCACATTGCAAACAACAAGAAACCCCAGAACACGCACTCATATACTGCACCCACTACCTAACACACCGAACTACACTACAAACCACCCTAAATCTAAATAAGGCTCTTACTCTAGAAGCAATCCTAAACCCACAAAATAAAATAGAAAAATTCAAAGCCTTAGGCGTATACTTAATCAAAACAGGACTAATAAATCGCATTTAAAACCCCAATAAACTACCAAAACCAGACCACATAATCAAACTAACAAACTTCCATACTCAGGTCCCTTAGTTCGTCCCCCAAACCCTCATCCCAAATGCGTGGATTGATGCTCATGATATCAATCACTTGATTGTCTGGTCCAGACTCGATTATTTAAAGACCGCCGTCATATAGCTGGAATATTGCTGAGTGCGGCGTTAAACAACAAACCAACCAACCAGCCAACCATGACACGGATATTACCTAGGCAATTACAGAAGGCAATATACAGGAGTTTAGAACTAAAAAGGAACGCGTTAATCTTACAACACCATCCTCACAAAATATGAACCCTTTCGTAGAAAAGTTACTTTTTGTAAGTGCACATTTTGTATTTAAGAAACTTAATTCAGGAAATTCAGAACATTTTGGTATAAGTAATTCTTTTTAGAAAACATACTGGAAACATTGTGCAAATATTATTAGGTTTTGTCCACAGCATTTTTTGCAGAAAATATGTAAATAAAAATGCTGACAGCAATTGATTTTGATAAACTGTCGTGGTTGTCATTTTAAGCTGTTGACATATTTATCATTTAGACTCGTCTACCAGTCTATTTCCATGTGCAACCACGTGATGTACCTGTTATATATGATGAATGCCGCAGAAGCTGGGACGCTACGACACAGAGTACACGATGATGCTAACGCTGATGTGTGGTGGTTGGGTGGAAAGATGTGCACACGGTACAAGGGTAGCAAAATGGATCCGACATTACTCTGTATCATACAACGTGAGTAATTCCATATAACAGGACTGGATGTTTTTTTAATCCCTACTGATACAAAAGTTTTCCAAAACGCAACAACGTGGAAATAATGAAATCACGTTCTAGGAGCGTTGTGAGGTGGTGGCACAGAAGCATTATGGTTATAAAGCTTTCTGTTTCACTCATACTGTCTTTTCGCTCAATGTTTTCTTCTATGCTGGCATGAGGGCATGAAAATGACGGTAAGAATATTTCACAGTTTTGAGGTGAGATGAGGTGAAATGGGGTTTAACGTCGCGTCCAGGATTATTGCACTTATATATAGCGACGTGCATGCACGTGTGTGTGTGTGCGTGCGTGCGTGCGTGCGTGCGTGCGTGCGTGTGTGTGTGTGTGTGTGTCTGCTTGTACTTGTCCGGACTGATGCCGATTTATAGTGCTAGCCCACTGAGATACCATGCCGCAGTTTAACATGAATACCCCACTCAGACACAGTATACTGGCTCCGAGCCGACCAGTCCTTGTTTTAGCCCCTTAATGCCGAGCGCCAGACAGGGTAACAACAAGTACCATCTATTAACGTGTCGACGTTTCGGTATACATCGTTATACCTTCCTTCTGTTGTCAGTATTTAACATGAATACCCCACTCAGACACAGTATACTCCGAGCCGACCAGTCCTTGTAACAACAAGTACCATCTATTAACGTCTTTTGGTATGACGCGGCCGGGGATCGAACCCCGGACCTTCCGCTCTCCGGGCGGACGCTCTACCACTAGACCACGGAGGCGGAAAATAAAAGAGTACGAACTGTACGAAAGCAAAACAAAATACTAGTAATCTGTCATTTAAAACGCTCAGGGGTCATCTATTAGCCTAAGCCAAAAGACCCAAAGGGACCGACCATTAGGGACTGAGAGGGAACAAGACCGTTTTCACCAGCGGAACCAGATATTTTTAAAAATAAAACTTTGGCCCTAAATGCTTTTTTATAAGAACAATTTTGCAACAACGTGTATTTGGTGTCTGACAAGTCTTTGTCAACAGTCTGAAGCATAATCATATCTTTCAAGCTTCTTCTGGGATAATTTATTTTTTCCGATAAAATCCCAAGACTCCAAGGTTATTTAATGTCGGCCCTTCAGTTATAATGAGGCCAAACGGGAACATATGTATAGGATAGCCTTTGCCACGTGCCTGAATCCCCATTATAGCTAAAATGGATAGAATTATCATTAAACCGCCCGCACGTTATCAGAAATGAGCGGGCCACTGTAACTTGATAATGCCCTCATATTACTTGACGACGGGCCATTATCAAGCCCGTTGTTAGGTGACGTCATAGGGAAGAGAAAATGACGTCACGTATTATAGTGACGTCATCTGGTTTGTTCTATGACGTTTCCATATTTGTAAAATGTGGTCAGTGACATTCGTGTTGATTGCAGTAAGTGTTTCAAAACCGATGTTGTTGTTTATTTTTATTTGATAACAAATTCCATCCATTTTAGCTATAATAACGGTAACGCTCTTTTTCTTCGTCGGGCAGTTAATAGAAAACCTCGGGCTTCTGCAAATGATAATGCCCTGAAAAATAGCGTTACCCTTCTAGTAACAAGCACCCAGAGTAACTCCCAGAGTAACTCCAATCTGCCTGCCTACATGCCAACGCTTACATTTCCACACATATCTGCTAATTGGCCGAGTATTGTGATTTTAATTTCTTTATGTTTTTAATTTAATTTTGGCAACAAACCTTTTGGCACAGTGACGGGAAAGTGTGTGTGAGTCTGTGGGCTAGGTTTTACGCCGTTTTAGCAATATTCCAGCAACATCACGGCGGGGGACACCAGATGACGTGAATAGAACACAGTGATGCCTGTATGCGTCAAGCGTATCCAAGAAGAATAGTGGGATCAGCTAAGTCGCCATACTATCTCATTACTCATTTATAATTGCCATTTTTACGATGAGCTTGTGTTGTGCTTGTATTTATTTACTGTAAAGGCGACGTTTCGGTGTAGATCCTTATGCCGTTGTCAAGCAAGGTTAAATAACGAACATGGCACAGAATATATATAGCAGGTGGAGGATTAACAGTACCAACAATTGCATACATGAGAGAGATCAACATGGGCAGGTTAAATACTGACAACAGAAGGAAGGTATAACGATGTATACCGAAACGTCGACACGTTAATAGATGGTACTTGTTGTTACCCTGTCTGGCGCTCGGCATTAAGGGGCTAAAACAAGGACTGGTCGGCTCGGAGTATACTGTGTCTGAGTGGGGTATTCATGTTAAATACCGACAACAGAAGGAAGGTATTACGATGTATACCGAAACGTCGACACGTTAATAGATGGTACTTGTTGTTACCCTGTCTGGCACTCGGCATTAAGGGGCTAAAACAAGGACTGGTCGGCTCGGAGTATACTGTGTCTGAGTGGGGTATTCATGTTAAACTGAAGCATGGTATCTCAGTGGGCTAGCACTATAAATCGGCATCACTCCGGACTAGTACAAGCAGCCACACAAACACACACACATACATGCACGTCGCTTTTTAAGTGCAATAATCTTGGACGCGCGTTTAACCCCATTTCACCTCAACTCACCTCGAACCCAGGAAGACTTTACATTCAACTACTACTACTACTACTTTCTATTACTGTCCAGTTTTGACTGTGATTTATGCAAGGTTTGTGATATGTATTGTACTGCGACTTTTCTATTCCTGTTATTTATCGTATTGCAACTTCACTAACTTGATATGTATCATATTGCGACTACTATCTTGAAAAGTATTGTGTTGCGATTTTACTATCATGATATGTATGATATTGAAACTTTGTTAAATAAGTGCACTAATAATGGACGCGACGTTGAACCCAATTTCACCTCACCTCACCTCACCTCACCTCACCTCACCTCACCTCTTTATTATGAGGAAACACAACGTTCACCTAATGAAGGAGTAAGCATGTACTCCGAAACGTTGTGATCATCATAATAAAGAAGTTGACATCCATAAATTCTCTTCCTTATGTGTATCACTTCTAGGTGTCATTGAAAGACTTAATTATATCAGGATCTGTACTGAAACGTCGAGTTGTGCCTGACAAACCAGTGTTTCAATCATTAGTGATAAGATGACCCGCAATCAGCCACGTCACCAAGTCTGACGAACGCACAACCGGTTATCCATTCTAGGCAACTGTATGTACGTAAATGTATATTAATTATTTATTTATGATTACACATATAACGTTTCTCTATGAAAACTATTGTCTGGTCAATTGGTCTTAATTTTATTATTCATTGGTATGTACTTGACGTACTAGTATCATATACACGAGTTATTACAGTTGTTGTTATAAAAGTTAGATTACTTCTTTCGTCAATCGATTTAATATCAAGCTGTCGGCACGTACATAATCCTTTTTACGATGTTGCAATTTGGAACATAATATTTGACGGTGTATTTAACTAGAAATGCTTCATTTCATATAGGGGAAACGATTATTAGAATAAATAATATGATGGCTGCATGTGTTCACTTTCCAAGTCATCCTGTTTTACTGATCTATCAAATGTGGTATGTAGCTCATAATATACAGTCATTTTTTATGATGCATCAGACTACAATGTGACTGCAGCAACCAGACACCCGCATATAAACATTCTGTATGGACGAGCCTGGGCGGTCCGGTAGCCTAGCGGTTAAAGCGTTTGCTCGTCACGCCGAAGACCTGGGTTCGATTCCCCACGTCGTAACAATGTGTGAAGTCCATTTCTGGTGTCCCCCGCCGTGATATTGCTGGAATATTGCTAAAAGCGGTGTAAGGTTATACTCACTCACTCATTCAATGAGCAACATATTAGACTTGAGATTTAAATTGTTTTTTTCTCAATTACTTGGGCATTAACCTAAAAGTACTTATTTCACTAGAGGGCAGTGCTAGTACTGTAGTACAGTAGACTACGGTTATAACGAACTCAAAGGGTCCACTAATTTAAGTTCGCAATAACCGTAGTTCGTTATAAGCATATATACAGCATATATACAACAAATGTCTGGGACTAAGAAATACGTTCGTTATATCAGTCAGTTCGTTATAAACGTAGTTTACTGTACTATGTAATTGTATTAACACTACATGTATCATACACTCATAGACCTCTCCACTGTTTCAAACTTGAGTTAAACTTGGTCGGGGCCAAGTTTTGACATTTCTAATACAGTAAACTACGGTTGTAACGAACACGCTTATAACGAACTAACGGATATAACGAACTTACTTCTTAGTCCCGACTATATGCTGTACTTATGCTGTATATATGCTTATAACGAATTACAGTTATAACGAACTAAAATTAGTAGTCCCTTTGAGTTCGTTATAACCGTAGTCTACTGTAGATCTTACACACGAGCAGCGGGAGACATAATACCACAGCTCATCCAATACTTCTACTTTACCTCACCGAATGTGGTCTTCAATTCCAGGCTGGGACCTAGAACCAAATAATGAAGACCAGAAATATATCATGTAATTACTATACTGTCGTAACAGAAGGGTTGTATATTCAGAGTGCCTCGAATCTCTCAAACAAATTATCCTTGATCGCTTTACAATTATTTCAGGAAACCGTGAAAAAGTTGAACAGTTTGCATAAATCATCCTTCAACTACTTGGCAAACGTCCGTAACATGAAGCACTATATGAAGCGGATTGGACACAATGTAAGTATATTAATATTGTGTCATGTGTCATTTTTATGCACTGACAAATACATACATAAATGAGTGAGTGAGTGAGTATTGTTTTACGCCGCTTTTAGCAATATTACAGCAATATCACGGCGGGGGACACCAGAAATGGTCTTTGTCACGACCTTTTTTAGGGGTACTTCTTTCCCTTCATCAGTTGTGACAAAGAAGAAAAGAGTTGCTGTCCATAAAAGTGCCATGTGGTCATGTTCTTCCAACTTCTAAAGGCCCCGAGAAGATTCCGGGGTAGAATATGTCTTCAAAAACCCATACCCGCCGTAAAAGGTGACTATGCTTGTCGTAAAAGGCGACTAACGGGATCGGGTGGTCAGGCTCGCTGACTTGGTTGGTGCATGTCATTGATCCCAATTGCGTGGATCGATGCTCATGATATTAATCACTGGATTGTCTGGTCCAGACTCGATTATTTACAGACCGCCGCCATATAGCTTGAATATTGCTGAGTGCGGCGTTAAACAACAAACCAACCAATCTAAATGACTATCAAAGACTTCAGGAAGAATCTGTTGACCATTTTAGATCATATCTTGAGAAAAGATGCAATAAATTTCGATGTAGTATCTAAATTTTAAGTCGCTGACACATAAATGACCTGAGCGTATCAGCCCGGTGCACTCAATCAAATGAGTGAGTGAGTGAGTGAGTTTGGTTTAACGCTGCTTTTAACAGTATTCCAGTTATATCACGGCGTGTCAGCTTAATGTGGGAGGAAAGCCCGAAGTGATGCAGGTCTCAGACGTTTACCACTTCGGTGAAACCAACGAGCACGGGTATGGTGCTGACAAACCTAGAAACATAATTGGGGCGAACCGGGATTCGAACCCACAATCATAGGTTTCTGGCGTGCCCAAGGGACGCAACTCTGCACAGCGAATCGCGGCGCCTTAGACGACTGGGCAACCCGTGCCCCCTCAATCAATTGACTACCGTGTGTATCGCTGAAATGGCAAATCAGCAGATAATGATTAAAGATCTGGTCTTGCATCCTACAGATATCCGACCTTTCTAAACTGAACATTCTGCACGTCACTGGTACGAAGGGTAAAGGCTCAACATGCACGTTTTGCGAAAGTATTCTTCGTCACCATGGCTACAAGACAGGTGTCTTTAGGTGAGTTCCACTAGACCAGAGCATAAACGTCAAACGTGTTATGACAAAAGTGTTTTCAAATTTGACGCATCATTGATAAAAATGATGTCCGATGCAATTCCATATTTTGACTTGAACCATATGTTCCCGTGTTTTTTCAGATGAACAATTGACTTGCCTTTTCATGTGTTTGTGACGGGTGCCACCGGTTGGCAGGATACGCTGACCTTTTCGCGAACACCCACTCATGATATAGTCGTACAATCGACTCTGCTTTATGCAGAGATTTCTATTGGGTATGAATCAGCACAGTTTTTTTGCCCCAAAAGCTACACGAACTTATATTACCGAACGGTCGCTTCAGCGTTTGGTAATCTGAACAAAAGAGCCGGCTGTCACAGAACGTACTTCCAAGTCTAAGTACATAATGTTGATATCTCATACAAGAAATAAACGACTCGTGGTCGTACAATAAAACAACTCCCACTCGTCATTTATTTCTAAGACAAATATACACCTGCAAAAAGGTTGGAACAATTCCTTCTTCATTTTTCAAATATTCCGAACTGTCATGCGTATTTTTCCAATATCCAGTAGTATATATGTGACCCATGAGGACCCGGGTTAGAATTGGTCTTCAGCATCCCATGTTTGTCCCAAGAGGCGACATGAGGCGTATGAGGCGACTGGGTGGTCAGGCTCGCTGACCTGATTGATGCATCGTATCCCAATTGCGTGGATCGATGCTCATGATATCAATGACTTAACTGTCTGGTACAGACCGCCGTCATATAGCAGGAATTTTGCGGCGTTAAACAATACTCAAACAAACAAGTCACAGAGATGGTAATATGGTTATCTCCAGGGCTTACTGTTTTTGATTCAGTTACCCATCCACCAGTAAAAAACGTTCCCCATGTCTTATCTAGTTCCAACTACAGTAAACAACGGTTATAACGAACTCAAATGATCCACTTATTTTAGTTCGTTATAACCTTAGTTCGTTATAAGCATATATACAACAACTATACAGCAAATGTCCAGGACCAAAAATAAAGTTCGTACTATGCGTCAGTTCGTTATAAGCGTGTTCGTTATAAATGTATTTTACTGTAATACGACTTTAATAAACTTTTTCATCCTTCACAATATCCGTTTCTGTGTTTCGTGGTGACACGACACATTTGTAACGCTGCTATATACTACTACTACTACTACTACTACTACTACTACTACTACTACTACTACTACTACTAATAATAATAATAATAATAATAATAATTATAAGACGAAGAAGAAGTGCATTCATAATGCGCCAGATTCCATTCACCGAGTGGATGCTCATAGCGCTACACTACTATTACCCCGGTCAATAGATCAGTGAGCACCCGATTTTCATTCTCAGCTCCCTGGGGAGTATACAACCCATTACATTAACGAAATCTCATTTGTGTGACATACAAAGTGACAGTGTTCCAAATAGACATCAGCCCGTAGGCTCGAGGCCGTCAGATTTGTTCTCGGGCTGATGGTTTTAAATTTCAGCAGGCCCTTACGGCCTACAGTTTATTTAAGTAATTATTTATTAAGTATTATTTAAGTAATGTGATAAACATAACTTTCATATTTATAAACAGAGGGTTAGACCTTTCATATGACGCAAAGACGTTTTCACAACAAGCTGATAATTTCCTGATAAATGTAGGCTTCATCTATCACAACTGACTCTCTGGGAACTCAGCGTGACAGCACTGAAAGCACCATACCCGTGCTCGTGGGTTTCACCGAAGTGGTAAACGTCTGAGACCTGCATCACTTCGGGCTTTCCTCCCACATTAAGCTGACACGCCGTGATATAACTGGAATACTGTTAAAACGGCGTTTAATCCAACTTACTCACTCACTCACTCTTATGCCAACATGCCACCAGGTACTTATACGATCTTAGCCATTAATCAAATTGAAGCCAATAACATATATACTTTTACGTTTACGTATTGTTTTACGCCGCACTCAGCAATGTTCCAGCTATATGACGGCGGTCTGTAAATAATCGAGTCTGGACCAGACAATCTAGTGATTTACATCATGAGCATCGATCCACGCAATTGGGATCGATGACATGCATCAACCAAGCCAGCGAGCCTGACCACCCGATCCCGTTAGTCGCCTCTTACGACAAGCATAGTCGCCTTTTCCGGCAAGCATGGGTTGCTGAAGACCTATTCGACCCCGGGTCCTCATGGGTCACATATATACTAATGGGTATTGGAAAAAAATACATGACAGTTCGGAATATTTCAAAAATGAAGAAGGAATGGTTCTAACCTTTTTGCAGGTGTATATTTGTTTTAGAAATAAACGACGAGTGGAAGTTGTTTCATGGTACGACCACGAGTTGTTTATTTCTTGTATGAGATATCAACATTATGTACAGCCTCTTTAAGGATGATGAGAAAATGTAAAGCATTAATGATGACTCACTCAATAGAATCCGACTTCGGCAATGTCGGAGAGGTCCGTTTATGCACAGGTGGATATTTCCCGCATATTCTCACATTCTTCACGTCGATTACCTGTACCTTTCCCCCCAGTACCGATTGCCATATCTTTCCCGCCTTTGAATGCGATCGTTCGTCCATCGCGTTTATCTGCGTTGCCCAGTTACATCTATGTGGAACAACTCAAGAGACACTCCCCTCCTTTAACATTATTCCAGTTACATCAGGGTGTGTCAGCTTAATGTGGGAGGAAAGCCCGAAGTGATGCAGGTCTCAGACGTTTACCACTTCGGTGAAACCCACGAGCACGGGTATGGTGCTGACAAACCTAGAAACATAATCGGGGCGAACCGGAATTCGAACCCACAATCATAGGTTTCTGGCGTGCCCAAGGGACGCAACTGTGCACAGCGAATCGCGGCGCCTGAGACGACTGGGTCACCCGTGCCCATGTTCGAATCTCCAGAAATGACGTCATGATAGAACAATATCGTGAATAAACTACACCTCGTTCGTCATTGTTCCTTGCGATTTACAAGTTTACATATTTTGTCCATTTACTACTTTAATATTTACAGTCAACCTCCGAAATATGCAAGATACAGTTTGAGGCTTAGCATTGCAAATATATTGATTAACATTATATTTTCTTATAACTGCAGTAGTTTATCGTAATACCCACTATAAAAAAAATGTATTGACGTCTGGTCTAGGAACCATTTGGCATTGTCTCTCAACATCGCCTATATAACAATGTACAATTTATATACCTGGGAATGAGTCAAATATCCTATGTGTGTATAATGACGTCACGCTAAACTGCAATGACGTCTTGGAACAATGGTATACCCACGGTTTCAAATTCCTACTTGTGTCGTCCATAGCTCTCCCCACCTGGTGAGCATTACCGAGAGGTTCCTGTGCGGCGGGAAGCCGGTCGAGAAGGACGTCTTCAGAGACCACTTCTGGGACATCTACACCAAACTTTCGACCACAAGGGTATTATCACATACCACAAGGGTCTGATTAAGTTTTGATTAAAACGTTAAAACTATATGACATGTCTATTATCAAACACCCTGCTGTCTCTCTCTCTCTCTCTCTCTCTCTCTCTCTCTCTCTCTCTCACTCTCTCTCTCTCTCTCTCTCTCTCTATCGCTTATGCAATAAACCAGAAGTAATACATAAAGTTCAACTCTTCTCATGTGCTGTGATTCGCTTCTTTTAGTTTCGACAAATACCACTACTTGCACCCAGACCCGTGAAGATCCTGGAGTAGAATAGGTCTTCAGCAACCCATGCTTGCCGTAAAAGGTGACTTTCCTTGTCGTAAGAGGCGACTAACGGGATCGGGTGGTCAGGCTCGCTGGCTTGGTTGATGCATGTCATCGATCCCAATTGCGTGGATCGATGCTCATGATGTTAATCACTGGATTGTCTGCTCCAGACTCGATTATTTACAGACCGCCGTCATATAGCTGGAATATTGCTGAATGCTGCGTTAAACAACAAACCAACCAACCAACCAACTTGCACCCAGGTTGCCTGTTAGAGAAAAATAAGCTGGTTTTGTTTCACACCAGATAATTCTTCCTTACTTACATAAAGTGTAATTTAGCTGTGTAATTCGTAGATATGTGAAATAAAGATACAAGTCAGATTCAGCTGAACTCAAGCTTTAAGTATGTGTTTCTTAGTATGAGCCATAAATTCCGAATAACGGATCCGATGATATTATGACCCGTGAAGAACCGGGGATGAATAGGTCTTCAGCAACCCATGCTTGCCGTAAAATGCGACTATGCGTGTCGTAAAAGGCTTGGTTGGTGCATGTCATCGATCCCAATGGATCAAGGACCAATATTAACCTTGTGGAAATACCTATCTCAATCAAATAGGTTAACATGTTAGATATAAATGCGAGGGAGTTCTGCAAATACAACATGCGTAACAGTTAACACATCTATGGTGGTAAATGTGATAATGATGAAATATATTTTGGTTACCCCAAAGGACAAAAACATACATGCTTTTGCGACGGGTATTCATTCTTTAAATGACACCTGTACCTGTACCTGTACCGCCGGGGTAAAATAGGTCTTCAGCGACCCATGTTTGTCGTAAAGGGCGACTAACGGGATCGGGTGGTCAGGCTCGCTGACTTGGTTGATGCATGTCATCGATCCCAATTGCGTGGATCGATGCTCATGATATTAATCACTGGATTGTCTGGTCCAGACTCGATTATGTCCAGACCGCCGCCATATAGCTGGAATATTGCTGAGTGCGGCGTTAAACAACAAACCAACCAACCAACCGATGATATTATAAACAGAAAGATATATTATAACATCGATTCTTTTTTTACAGGAATTGGAAGACGATATGCCCCATATATTTCCCTTTCTGACTCTGCTGGCTTTCGACCTTTTTCTTGCACAAGGAGTTGATGCTCTGATTCTTGAAGTGGGAATAGGAGGCCAGTACGACTGCACGAACATTGTTGAAACACCGACTGTGTGTGGCGTTACCTCGCTGCATGTGGATCATATAAGTCAGCTGGGAAACACTATAGAATCAGTGGCCTGGCACAAAGGAGGGATCTTTAAAGTAAGTTTCTGGTTGGAATAAAGACCTAGTTCATCGACCCGTGAAGATCCGGGGTAGAATAGGTCTTCAGCAACCCATGCTTGCCGTAAAAGGCGACTATACTTGTCGTAAGAGGCGAGTAACGGGATCGGGTGGTCAGGCTCGCAGACTTGGTTGATACATGTCATCGACACCAATTGTGTGGATCGATGCGCATGATATCAATCACTGGATTGTCTGGACCAGACAATCCAGTGATTGACAGCATAAACATCGATCCACGGACATCACAAGTAAAATATCAGGATTGCCAAAAGGGACTCGCCACACATTGAACATAAGTGTAATAAACAAATAACAATCCCACTGTTACAGACATGATATTGGAGCATTTATGTTTTAGCCTGGCAGGCCAGCAGTGACAGTCCCTCAAGACCCACCTGCCATGAACGTCCTGGAAGACAGAGCTGAGGAAATAGGGGTACAGTTTTTAGAATTTAGAGAAAGCAGTCTCACCCGTTTGCCCTTTGATGTCAAATATATCATCACAAATCGATAAAGGTTTAAACTCGGAGGCTTGCCGAGGCGTTTTTAACTTTTAACCATGAATGTTGATATATTTTTAATTTTGATATCAAAAGACACGAGGGTTAGATTCTATTCAGCATCCAAGGCCATTCTTTCTACTCTTTTAGTTAGTAAACAGGAATAAACATTAATGAATGTAAAAGGTACAGCCAACCAGCTTCAGTGGCAGAGAGATTAGTGATGTAATTTGATTGTGACGCCATGGTATCCGATGATGTCACAATGGTCGGCAAAGCAGCGTGAGGTGAGGTGAGGTTTAACGCCGCTTTTAACAGTATTACAGTTATATCACGGCGTGTCAGCTTAATGTTGGAGGAAAGCCCGAAGTGATGCAGGTCTCAGACGTTTACCACTTCGACATTCAGTTCAGCTATTCTGCGTGTTTCAGTGTGATTATAAATCGCTAACACCGAATAGATAATATCTTATTAATATTTATACTGTCTGAGATAATTTGATACATATCCTTAACGTGAACAGTTATGCATTGATAGAATAAATATATAATTTTTATGTTTTTTTAAATATAGATGACGTTATATGAAGCCCCGCCACTGTCTTCCTATGACAATGGACCTGAGCCAATCAGATTGGGTATTCCAGGTCACGTGCAGGATGTCAATGCGTCCCTTGCAATACAGATGTGTACAATATGGCTGGAGTCTCGTAAAAATAGTAATGTAATGGGAAAGGGAAATATAATGAATGCTACGGAATCCTATTTCGCCCACAAAATTTAGTTATTTGATGATGTCATTTTCAAATTCATGTTCTTATCTGGCAACAGTGTCAAAGCAAAACAGAAAGTGAAGACTTGGTAAGTTCAATTGCTGAATTAAATTCATCTTGAATTTTCAACAAAGTATGTAGAATTTTCAACTTAATAACTTGAATTTTCAAGATGGTATAAGATGATTTTCAGCTTAACAGCTTGAATGTTCAAGATAGCAACTGAACTTTCAGCTTAGTTTCTGGAATTATAAACTAGGTGTCTTGAACTTTCGTCAAAGTACAGGGAGGATTGTCTCTTGAGTTTTCAAGATAATAAGAAATGGCCCTAATAGGCTTTCGTAGAATGCTGTACACGGTTAGTCAACAATTTGCCAGTTAATCACGGCGGACTGAACATAATCGAGTCTCGTCCAGGCAAAGCAATGGCTGATGGCATTATGAAGGTGCCATGCCCTTGGGTAGTGGGTATGGTTTTACGCCGCTTTTAGCAATATTCCAGCAATATCACGGCGGGGGACACCAGAAATGGGCTTCACACATTGTACCCATGTCGGGAATCGAACCCGGGTCTTCGGCGTGACGAGCGAACGCTTTAACCACTAGGCTACCCGACCGCCCCCCATGCCCTTGGGGGTACTATAACACACATTCAGTCAAGTAACAGAACATGACCACCTTATCCCCAGCTCAGTCTCATTTGTCCAAGAAATTATACGTCCCATAATTCGTATTTTGCTTCATCTCCATCAAACAGCAAGCGTTGCCCGGGCCCAGATGAGTTCGCCGTACTTCTAACCTTTTGTTTGATAGAGGCTTCAACAACTCTCGTTGGATAAAAGATTTATTCATAGAAGGGCTGGGACGAGTCCAAATTTACTACCCGGGTATCCACCCGCTATTACCCCACCCTACCCTGGTAACCGCTACAGGTCGCAAGAGTTTGGTACAAAATGTCCGATTGGAAAGAGTTTGAGCGTAGCCCTGGTAAAATGTATTTAACTTTATGTATAAAACGATCTGATCATGCATACACTGAAGTTGACTGAAGTGTTATTTTTATTTAAAGCTATAAAGGTCAGAAGCAATGGTGCTTAGTCAGAAAGAAATGTACTAAAGAAATGAACATTAGTACTTGTACTGTAACCATCGAGTTCTAGATATTTTTAATCATTAAACAAAATATCACATGACTAACCACGGGTCCGGGTAGTCCTGTGGGTACCCGGGTCCTACTCAGTACCCACCCAATCCGAGTACCCGAGTTACCCGTCCCAGCCCTAATTCATAGACCGTACACATGTCTGACATCGACGATGCATGAATGTCAGCAGACAGGTATATTCAAACACCAGGGGCAGTTAATTCTGATCATCATTTCCGGTTAACATACATGTGTAAGATTAGGTAAAAATATAAGAGTGCAATTAAAACGTCCATAAAACATCAATACACGTTAACTTAAGTTAACATTCTAACATTCTGCAACAGGTATTGGGTACTTGGGAGTCGTCACAGGTTGGACATCTAAATAAGATGCACACTAGTGTACTAGTATTGAAATAAGATGATATAAATAAAAGCGACAAAGCTCTGTCCATAGTCATAAGAAATATCTGCTGAAAACATATTTTCGATATCATAAGTTCCGTATTCGACGTAATGAGCGCCCCACTCTAATAAGCGTCCACGGCGATATTTGCTAATATATTGGCTAGTGAACAATCCCAATTAGCACCCCTTCCGATCGATCAATGTACACAAGACTTATTTATTCGCGTATGATACGCACCCGTGTGTTATATGCACCCTTAATAATGGGCAATTAAATTCTGGAAAAATATATCTGTCATATATAAACATTTCAGGCTGCCAGCACAAACCACGAAATTTATCTTTCAACTCTGTTTTTTTCGCCAAAATAATATTCTAATAAGAGCCCCTTATTTCTAATTTTGAGAGCGCCCTGGGCGCTTATTACATCGAATACGGTATATGTTTATGAATCACTATTAAATAGTAGCGAAAAGACATTATTAAGCGTTGTTGCAGTGCCGATTAAATTTAGAGAACAATGTTGAAAATAACTACCCTGTTTGTCGTTTTGAAATTCTCCAAAATAACTGTACGTCACATGGCTTTGACAGGCGGTACAGGTGTCATTTAAAGAATGAATACCCGTCGCAAAAGCATGTATGTTTTTGTCCTTTGGGGTAACCAAAATATATTTCATCATTATCACATTTACCACCATAGATGTGTTAACTGTTACGCATGTTGTATTTGCAGAACTCCCTCGCATTTATATCTAACATGTTAACCTATTTGATTGAGATAGGTATTTCCACAAGGTTAATATTGGTCCTTGATCCATGTGACAGGGCTCGGAACAACATCAGCTACAGAATCCGTCTCCTCGACCATCATTGAAGGCAGCAACAGAGCGAAGAAGACCAAGGGATTCAGACTGACTGCCAACATGAAGAATGATAAGCATATAGCACTTTATCATTGTAATATGTACATTCCATCATTGTAATATATACTCAACAACAAAAGTTCCCGTGACACCAATATTTGAGGTGAGGTGAGGTGAAATTGGGTTTAACGTCGCGTCCAAGATTATTGCACTTATATAGCGACGTGCATGCACGTGTATGTGTGTGTGTGGCTGCTTGTACCAGTCCGGACTGATGCCGATTTATAGTGCTAGCTCACTGAGATACCATGCCGCAGTTTAACATGAATACCCCACTCAGACACAGTATACTGACTCCGAGCCGACCAGTCCTTGTTTTAGCCCCTTAATGCCGAGCGCCAGACAGGGTAACAACAAGTACAATCTTTTAACGTCTTTTTGTATGACGCGGCCCGGGATCGAACCCCGGACCTTCCTCTCTCCGGGCGGACGCTCTACCACAAGACCACGGAGGCGGTCTGCCAATATTTGAAGTTTGGTTTTCAATATTGTAGTATATGTATGGAATCAAGTCGCAAAAACGCAACTGCTACAGAAAAGCATGCATTCCATGCAAAAATTGACTTTTATGCAAGCTCCATGCATTTCACTACCCAAGAATTGGTATAAAAACATGTGCGTTAACGGGATTCCATATGCATTGCTCAGCATCGTGCTGACAACAACCACTCAGAAAAACAACAAAATTACGCAATTATTCAACATTACGAAATGCCACGCCTGTCCGAAAATGAGCGTCTGTAAGCCATTGGGAAGCTTGAAGCTGGATCGTGTCAACGTGATGTTGCAAGACAATTTAACGTCCACAGAAACACCATTTATGGCAACGTTGGCAACAGACGAATGCAATCAGAGACCATCCTCGGAGTGGCAGGCCACGCGTAACTAATAATCGACAAGACAACTGGATTCGAACAACACACCTACGAAATCGATTCCAGCCAGCAACAGTGACTGCAAGATGCATTCCTCGCCTTCGACGAATATCTTCACAAACCGTACGTCGCCGCCGCAGATGTGCAGGGATTGTCGCCAGAAGACCCGCCAGACGTCCAATGTTGACAGGAAACCACCGTCAAGCACGTCTACAGTGGTGCAGACAGTGTCTACGTAGGACGGCCATGCAGTGGGGACAAGTTCTATTCACTGACGAGTCTCGTGTTCACCTCAGCCACAGCGATGGACGGATTCGAGTGTACCGACGTCAATGTGAACGTTACGTCAATCATTGTGTCATGGAAGAAGATCGGTTCGGGGTCGGCAGCGTTATGGTATGGGTTGGGATTACAGCAAGACAGAGGACCCGTTTGATAGTGGTAGAGGGAAATCTCAATGGACAGCGCTACCGCGACGAGATCATCGGCCCTGCTGTTCTACCGCTTTTGCGTCGTCATGGCACAGGCATTAACTTTCAATATGACAACGCCCGGCCTCATATTGCTCGACGTGTTCAGGATTCTGTTCAACAAAACAACGTGAATGTCATCCCCTGGCCGGCTCGCTCCCCTGATCTCTCACCAGTCGAGCACATGTGGGATGAGATGGATCGGCGCCTTCGACGTCAACCACGTGACACTCCAGGAACTTCGAAACATGCCCCAGCAGATATGGACAGATATCCCACAGGACTTTGTGCGACGCCTGGTCCATTCCATGAGACGAAGATGTGCTGTTTGCATCGCAACCAGAGGTGGACACACACGCTATTGATTTGTAAATTGACATTTTGACATGTTCATGTTTTTTTAAATGATATCACGCATTTTCTGAAGTCAGTATGGCAAGATTAAACCATTTGAACACTTACAGGAGTCTTTTATCTGTTACAAACCGAAATTGTTTCAGATTTGGTAAAAAACATAACTTTGCATTAAATCTTATTCAATGTCACAGGAACTTTTGTTGTTCAGTATATGTCCATTTACTTGTGATAGATACCCTGGAATCATTCGCCACTATAGCTTCGTGATGAGCCCGATTCGAATTGAAATACAAATAGCGACCAATCAAATTACTCTCGTGAGCGAGCGAAACTTAGAGATAGATAGCACGGGGTTAAACGTGTACCTGTCCGAACCAATGCCGTTTTTATAGTTGTAGGCAACTGAGTGGGTGAGTGAGTTGGGTTTAACGCCGCTTTTAACTTTATTTCAGTTATATCACGGCGTGTCAGCTTAATATGGGAGGAAAGCTTAAGGAAAGTGATGTAGGTCTCAGACGTTTACCACTTCGGTGAAACCCACGAGCACGGGTATGGTGCTGACAAACCTAGAAATATAATCGGAGCGAACCGGGTTTAGAACCCACAATCATGGGTTTCTGGCGTGCCCAAGGGACGCAACTCTGCACAGCGAATCGCGGCGCCTTAGACGACTGGGCCACCCGTGCCCCCGGAAGCCAACTGAGATTCCATTCTGAGATTCTGAGATTCTGCAGACTCAGGTACAGTACACTCCCAGCCGACCGGTCCTTTATTTTTGCTCCTTAATACCTAGCCCCAAGGAGGGAAACTAGAAGTACCATCATTTAACATCTTTCGGTTTGACGCGGCCCGAGGATTAAACCACCGACCTCCTGCTCCCCAGGCAGACGCTCTATCCACGGTCGCAAAGATGGATATGTTTAAATCACTTCTGAAACTAAGCTATTGTTGTGAATTGGTTCAGGGTATTTATAACAATGGATGGAGCAATATTACCCTGGATTGTCGAAGATGGAGTGAAGAATGCACACACAAGCTTACATTGTCAGAATGGGCCGTGTTGTAGAGTATTCAAAACAGGATTCGACATAAATTGTCCACCGAAAAGAGTAAATATCATGTTCAGCTCTCAATGCGAGACACATGCTTAAAATGTTTGAGTGCCTTCATGAGCATCCTGTCAATTTAGTGTCCGATTCAAACCTTTAAATAAGTATATGACAGTGGTTCCTTTTTCTAAGATTGACCCAGGCAACTCTCCCTGGTAGAGCCCATGTGATTTCTCGGCCCGGAGTGACCTACTACCTGGACCCGGCCCACACTGACCTCAGTATCCAGGTATTCGTGTCAATAATATATCCTGTGCGTTTATTTTCGACTAATGTTTTGTTTGTTGGATGTTCATCACCGCCCGCACTCAGCCATATTCAAGCTGTATGGCGTCTGTAAACAATCGAGTCTGGTCTAGTGATTGACTTCATGAGCAACTGGGATACGAGTGAGTGAGTATGGTTTTAAGCCGCTTTCAGCATTTTTCCAGCAATATCAAGGCGGGGACACCACAAATGGGCTTGACACATTGCACCCATGTGGAGAATCGAACCCGGGTCTTCGGCGTGACGAGCGAACTCCCAATTGGGATACGATGACATGCATCATCCAAGTCCGCGAACCCGACCACCCGATCCCGTTAGTCGCCCCCTGCATGGGTTACTGAAGACCAATCCTAATCCGGTCCTGTCCCTGATAGTAAAACGTTATCCTGATCTGACCAGTTAACTTTTTTGTTTCAAATTTGTTAATTGATATGTCTAAATATGAAAGTATGTAAGCTCAAACAAGGTCGAGTTTGGTTGTGTGACTGGCGGGCGTTACTGGTACTGCAGGACATGCCTAATCTTTTTGTGAGTGAGTGAGTTGGGTTTAACGCCGCGTTTAACATTATTCCAGTTATATCACGGCGTGTCAGCTTAATGTGGGAGGAAAGCCCGAAGTGATGCAGGTTTCAGACGTTTACCACTTCGGTGAAACCCACGAGCAAGGGTATGGTGCTGACAAACTTCGAAACATAATTGGGGCGAACCAGGATTCGAACCCACAATCATAAGTTTCTGGCGTGCCCAAGGTGCGCAACTCTGCACAGCGAATCGCGGCGCCTTAGACGACTGGGCCACCCGTGACCCCTAATCTTTTTGTGAACACCCGGTGTCATCAATGATTTTCAGTTATCCATTTACATAAGTTTCAGCACTATTTTGCCCAATGAAATCTGTTTCTTCAGGTTTCCGAGAAGGACTTTCTCTGGTGTTGACGTTTTATATTTATTTTAATACCGTATTCGACGTAATAAGCGCCGAGGGTGCTCTCAAAATTAGAAATAGGGGGCTCTTATTAGAATATTATTTTGGTGGAAAGACACATTTCGTGGTTTATGCTGACGGCCTTACTGTTTATATACTACAGATATATTTTTCCAGAATTTAATTGCCCATAGTGAAGAGGTCTTGTGCATATAAATAGGTGTTGTGTACTTTGGTCAATCAGAAGGGGTGCTAATTCGGATTGTTCACTTGTCAATATATTAGCAAATATCGCCGTGGGCGCTTATTAGAGCGGGGCGCTTATTACGTCGAATACGGTAATACTTGAGTACACTGTGTTTTAGAAACTAAATCTACGCTTTATTATGTATGCCTAATACAGACGTTCATTAAATTTTAAAACAGCACTGCATGAAGTGGTTTGACCGGGAAGCTGAAAAGGAAAGAAAAGAGCTGACGTAAGTGCCAGTGAGCTAGGGTTATATGTTCTTAGAATTTTCCTGTGAGGTCAACGGTTGTTTTGGGAGGCTCTGGTATTCGTTTAATAGCCTCTTGTGATCTTTACCTCCGGATTCAACTATGGAGAATGGTGGAATGAGAAGACCTGTACCTCTGCTGTAGTATCTTTCTTGTCATAAACGTTACATGAACTATAACCTGTACCATCTTCCCCAGGCTAGGGAGTTAACTGACTACAAAAGTCCAGTTTCCACCCTTGCCGAACTAGGGTGAAATTCCTGGGCTCGATCGTAGCGCCACCAGTGGCTATTACGAGTTAAGTCCCTTATATGCCTCTCATATGTACCAATCAAATTCCACCTAACGTATCACTTGCATTTGTTTCAAACAAAATCGCGGCGCCCAGTCAAGACGATCTGATCGATAATAAAAATCTATATTGTGATAAAACGGGTCTTACATCGCGAAGTGCATCAAATCACGCGAGCACCTTAATTAAAAACATGAAAAGATTAGGTAAATATCTGTTGACAACGAGTTGGCGGTGCACATGCTTTGCAAATCCTGCAATCGACCGAAATCTGCATAACAGTTTACGAACCGCATTTCGATTTCGTTGCGCGATTTTGATTGGACTATGCATAGACTCGTTAGTCCAGCCAAAATGTAACTCCATAATACCAGCCTAGTTCGGCAAGGGTTGAAACTGGACTTTTGTATTCAGTTAACTCCACTGCCTCGGGAAGATGAACCTGTACCTGAAATTCCTTCTTTACAAACGTTGTAATAACCTGCTTCTTCTCTGAAAAGTCTTAACAAACACCTAGAGGTACTTCAAATATAGGCATCTGTCATACTTGAATAAACTTTTCTTTAAAAAGTTCCCGATCATGGGCTTCGAACCCGTATACCCAGGGCATGTCGTCATCAAGTCCAAGCTCCAACCGCATCTGAATGATTTCATAACTTTCCTAATTGTATATCGATGAAAGGAATAGCTGCTCGCTCGTTGTCACGTAATCCACGTGTTGCACGTGCGACATTAACCCGTCCCCGATTATCATATAGATGGCCATGGAGCCTTGGAGCCATTCGCAACTATATACAGTAAACTACGGTTATAACGAACTCAAAGGGACTACTAATTTTAGTTCGTTATAACCGTAGTTCGTTATAAGCATATATACAGCATAACTACAGCATATAGTCGGGACTAAAAAGTTAGTTCGTTATATCCGTTAGTTCGTTATAAGCGTGTTCGTTATAACCGTAGTTTACTGTATACCTTGAATTTTTGTCTGGTTTGCATGACAGTGTTCAATGATCCCAGCTTCTTCGACCGAGGCAAAACATAATATGACGATAATTCCTTTTTTGACTCAATTAACTGAAACTAGGACAATACTAAATTGTGTTACTTTAAGTACAATTTAATGTCAGTCTATATATGACATATTGAGATATATTAATGGGAATAACATCAGAGCTGACATCTTTGCATTTTCTTACAGAGGACGTGTGGCTCGAATCCTGATTTTCTACGGGGGTCAAGGAAGGGATCAAAGTAAACATTTGTCAATATTACAGGTAACGAAACTGAAATTAGTATTCTATACACCTTCTATATTTTCATTATTTTCATGTAACCCGACTTTTCAAGTATCCTTCGGACATATTTACACGTTGCACTGATCTCATTGTGGTAAATGGGGCACGGGTGGCCCAGTCGTCTAAGGCGCCGCGATTCGCTGTGCAGAGTTGCGTCCCTTGGGCACGCCAGAATCCCATGATTGTGGGTTCGAATCCCGGTTCGCCTCGATTATGTTTCTAGGTTTGTCAGCACCATACCCTTGCTCGTGGGTTTCACCGAAGTGGTAAACGTCTGAGACCTGCATCACTTCCGGCTTTCCTCCCACATTAAGCTGACACGTCGCGATATAACTGGAATACTGTTAAACGCGGCTTTAAACCCAACTCACTCACTCACTCATTGTGGTAAATACAGAGGATAACAGCAAATACCTGCTGAAAATATACTAAATGCTACTCCAGGTGATCCAGACAGCTGGGATTGTTTCTAACAATATTAGCTCCGGGAAATAATGATGGTTTTTTTTATATGATGTGTATAACCATAACCAAATACATACGCTCTTAGGTAAATAAAAGTTTAATTTAAAAAAATTCATGACTATTAGAAATCTCTATTAAAAGAGTCCATTGTACTATTCATTCTATACCTTGAACATGTGGTTATGAATCACTGTCAAACAGTGATGATACCAGGTGTGCGAAAAATGGAGTTACATGTGACGCAAACACATGCAAAGGCAAGGCAAGTTTTCAACTGAACAAACAAGGGAACATATGATGCAAGTCAAAATAGGGAACTGCGTGAGACGTCGTTTTGGTTCCAATGGAATATCCTTTTTAAAGTAGCAAGAGGGTTGGAACTTTCACTTTTTTAGTACTTCTCAGACCACAAATAAGGTGATGTCATCAGATCGGAAATTCAATTTATTTTACCATGGCCCTACATCCTCTTAAAATGCATTCTGAACTCTAAACATAATTCTCTTCTGAAAATGATGGTCTGATGAAGCTCAAAATTGGCATATAAGTTCCTTCTATCAATCACATCACAGATAGTTCAAAATTGTTTGCACATTCACCTGTTATACTGATTGGTTCCATATTTGAAAAAAATCATGCGACCTGTAAACCAATTTTTCTTAAAAAATCTCGAGGCGCTATCTTTTTGTCAAAAACGGCTACAAGAATATTGTAGATTGGGCAAGCAATCATATTCAGTGCCATTGGTGTTACAAAAATACGCATTGTATACGGAAAGACTCCTACAGAATAAGTGGATTGATTGATCCCCCCCCCCCCCCCCCCCCACACACACACACACCAACACACACCAAACACCCACCTCGCACACGCATACGCACACGCACAAACAGACAAAGACACACACACACGCTGATATCTGTTCCTGCTGATTTTTTTGTTTTCTTCAAGGCGCTACCACTGGATGCTGTTATCTTTACGCCATACGCTAGCCCCACTGAAGACTGCTGTACAGGTAAAAGTGAATGGCATCATGATAGCCACACACTGCAAGTGTTACAGTTTAACATATCAATGCATGTGTCTTATCCCCTACATTATCGTAACCTGCCCTACGGGAACCTCGCGAGTCGTATATCTGTGACTGGATTTGGGCACTTAGGGTTCAGATAACCAAAAACATTTTCCATTTATAATCAACGTATTGTGAGGTAAAATTAAATGTTCGATAAGCTTACATGTCTTGTTACCATTAATGAATACATTGCTATCAATTATTGGGGAACGTTCAGAAGTGACATAGATAACGTCTTTGTTAGCATTTGATGTTCTTTATATTTTACCACTTTTTACTTAATTATCTTGAAGCACACGTTAACCTTTATTTTGTTAGCCGATTAAAACATTTCCGGATAGCATATCGCCGGTTTTACTGGAGAGAAGGTGGTGCATGTTTAAGAAAACAATTCTGGCTAAGTAAATGTAATGCCATTTAAAAGTATGTTGTATGTACATATCACGCACATTTATCGATTCTCAGATACCATTTTTCAAAGAAACCTTTATCTTCATATTAACCAAGTTTCACTGAATGGTGTAATTCCAGATTATATCTATGAAAATGCAACCAAAGAGGAACAATTCCAGAACGTTCTGTCTTTCAAAGAATTCTGGGAAAATACCACCGCGCCAACAGAGGGGAAATGTTCTTGTAAACCATGTGCGTCGTTCACAGCGCGAAGTTTCCCAGGGGCTCTCATAGCCGCGACTGGTGGGCGTGACCTCAGCATACGTGGCATAGATGATTCTATCTCGGAGGATCTATCAGACAGTTCTTGCATGACGTCTTTGGGTGATCGCTATGGAGGTCCTGGAGTTTATAACGAAGCATCAAGGAAAGATGGAAAATCACTCGATTGTCCTGAATTGCCGGAGGGGGTTCAGAAGGCTGATCATGTTCAAATTCTGATAGTTGGTGGTTTCAAGATAGTCGGACATGGTCTGTGGTATCTTCGTGCAAAACTATTCTGAACTTGTTTTAATTAAATCTCATAGGGGTTATTTAGCATGGCTAGCAAAGACATATGACTTAATATACAGCATGTAGATAGATTTGGTTGGTTGGTTTGTTGTTTAACGCCGCACTCAGCAATATTCCAGCTATATGACGGCGGTCTGTATATAATCGAGTCTGGACCAGACTATCAAGTGATTGACATCATGAGCATCGATCCACGCAATTGGGATCGATGACATGCATCAACCAAGTCAGCGAGCTTGACCACCCGATCCCGTTAGTCGCCTTTTACGACAAGCATAGTCACCTTTTACGGCAAGCATTGGTTGCTGAAGACCTATTCTACCCCGGAATCTTCACGGGTCGCATGTAGATAGAAGATGCTTTCATTTGAATAGGTGATGGAAATAGGAGTTCCTTGTTATGTTTTCCAGAAATCGCAGTACATGTATATATTCAGAGATTGATTCAGTAAACAGGAAAAATGTCAAAACCTTTGATGTACTTTATATAGACCCTTGATTATTATGTAATCCAAACTTATGTACCTATTTTTTATATTTAGGTATCGGGTACAAATATTAAAATATCAGAAACAATATTGCTAGATTACACATTGTTTCTGATAAAAGGCAATCATCGGTTTTCGAGCTGAAACATCCAGTCAGTCATATTTTATGTCAGTTTATACACATTAAAAAGAGGTGAGGTGAAATTGGGTTTACCGTCTCGTCCAAGTTTATTGCACTTATATAGCGACGTGTGTGTGTGTGTGTGTGTGTGTGTGTGTGTGTGTGTGTTTGTGTGTGTGTGTGTGTGTGTGTGTGTGTGTGTGGCTGCTTGCTGAGAAACCAGGCCCCGCAGTTTAACATGAATACCCCACTAAGACACAGTATACTGACTCCGAGCCGACCAGTCCTTGTTTTAACAGGATAACAACAAGTACCATCTTTTAACGTCTTTTGGTATGACGCGGCCGGGGATCGAACCCCGGAACTTCCGCTCTCCGGGCGGACGCTCTACCACAAGACTATGGAGGCGGTCCACATTGAAAAACAGTTAGTGAACATTCTCTGACACCTGTTGAACCTGTTTATCATTAACCTAGAACAGAATTGCCCTCTCTTATGAACGTAACTCCATTGGAGGCATATGTTTGGCGTGTGACGTTCTAATCGAGCTCGAGGGGTGCTATGATCGCGAAAGTGTCCATGGTTTTTATTATAATAGAATGTAAATATAATACCCTTGATGATCGAGGATGTCAGGAATAGAGTGATACTCTTCATACAGTCTGTCAAACGATGAGACCTACAATGTATCTTCATGTACAATGTAAAGAGTACTTTGAAATGAACAGTCGTTACCTGTTTGTTGGATTTAATTCGAACTACTTGTTATATTGAAACTCCATGAACTCTTGAATGATGTTTTACAAGTGAGTGAGTGAGTGAGTGAGTGAGTGAGTGAGTGAGTGAGTTGGGTTTTAGGCTGCTTTAAACAGTATTTCAGTTATATCACGACGATGGAAATGGGTGAACATGGGTCATAAATGTCACGGTTCGGACATGAATCGAGATGGACCCTTGTATGGAATGGGTCGCTCCTCTTAACAGCAAAGAAGAGCCAAATTACCCTCGCGCAATTATGACATCAATAATGTCCTTTACTTTGAGCCCTCAAACATAAACCTGAATAATTTTACCACCTGACTATATCCCACCCCCTCCCCCATCCTTCTATTAATCATTTCAGCAGGCTAGCCATTGGTAATGAATATGCAGTCTTTATACATATACAAATTCAAGTAAAATGTTCATGTTAAGTCAGAGTATTGAAGCTGATTGATACATTTATTCATTATTGATTAATTGTATAAGTTATGTTGGTCATTTCCTCTCGAACGCTGTTCCTTCCGGCAATGAACATAAACACATAGATACCTATTCATTTGCTCTCAGGAAACAAAGAGATGTATTCTTTTTTCAGGGTCTGCTTCGCAAAAATACATATATTTGAAACTAATATTTTCATATCTTGTTACTTATTCTTTGTGTACAGTGTTTGATGAATATATCCATACTGACAATCCAGTAACTTTGAGTCTTCTGAAGATGTTCTTTAATTGGGGAATATATTATTCTTCGGTAATATTATTCCACAACCTTATGTGTAAGTGAGTGAATGAGTGAGTGAGTGAGTATGGTTATACGTCGCAATATTAGCAATAATATATTCCAGCGAACGCTTTTACCACAACGCTAATAACTCACCGCTCCTATGTGGAAGTAGCAACACTACAGTGGTCATAAGCCATTCCATCCTATCTCTTATAATAATATATAATAAACACGTCCCATTTTAATTCTGGAAACCCAAAAGTCCAGAAACTCTACGCTCTTTGCCCAGTCTCGGTTAAAGGTATTTACAAAATTAAACATGCCGTTTTCATGGGAACATACCAAGGAAGAAAAAATGAAAAAAAAATTGTTTAAAAACTCAATATTTAGACTATGTCGCCCATGGGCCTGCCCATGGGCGAAGTTTGGCCCATGGGCCTGCCCATGGGCGAAGTCTGGCCCATGGGTAGGCCCATGGGCAGGCCCATGGGCGAGAATATGTTCCTTTACTTAAAACTCATGTTTTTGATTCGCAAATACATTTAATGTATTCATTCAAGTATCATGACACAATATTTAACTCATTTTAACTTAATTCAACGATTTTATAGCGATATTGAAATATTTCGCCCATGGGCGAGAAAAAGGTTTGCCCCATGGGCGAGAATATGTTCCTGTACTTAAAACTCATGATTTTGTTTCGCAAATACATTAAATGTATTTATTGAAGTATCATGACAAAAAATTTACCTCATTTTAACTTAATTCAACGATTTTATAGCGATATTGAAATATTTCGCCCATGGGCGAGAAAAAGGTTTGGCCCATGGGTAGGCCCATGGGCAGGCCCATGGGCGAGAATATGTTCCTTTACTTAAAACTCATGTTTTTGTTTCGCAAATACATTTAATGTATTCATTTAAGTATCATGACACAAAATTTAACTCTTTTTAACTTAATTCAACGATTTTATAGCGATATTGAAATATTTCGCCCATGGGCGAGAAAAAGGTTTGGCCCATGGGTAGGCCCATGGGTAGGCCCATGGGCAGGCCCATGGGCGAGAATATGTTCCTTTACTTAAAACTCATGTTTTTGTTTCGCGAATACATTAAATGTATTTATTGAAGTATCATGACACAAAATTTAACTCATTTTAACTTAATTCAACGATTTTATAACGATATTGAAATATTTCGCCCATGGGCGAGAAAAGGGTTTGGCCCATGGGCGAGAATATTTTCCTTTACTTAAAACTTATGTTTTTGTTTCGTAAATACATGCAGGAGTTCTAACTATTTTCATGGCACATAATGTAACACAATTTTACTCACTTCAGCTATTTTACAGATTTATTGAAATATTTCGCCCATGGGCGAGAAAAGGTTTTGCCTTCGAAATCCTTGATTATTATATCATGCCAGAGTTCTGAAATTCAGTGACAATGCTGTTGAACAGTAGAATCTGATTGACGTATTTTGCAGAACCTGTTTGACACTATGGGTTCCAGGACCACTAACACTCTGAGCTGAAAAAGTTTGGTCCTAACCGCACCCAGCATCTTTAATGAACCCGGCCTTATCTCTCAAAACGTTTTGGCAGTTTATCATACGAATTCATGTGCGTGTACAACATTAAATTTTAGTTAGTTTCTATTTCATTTCCCATTTTATGACCCGTTGATACATCCCACTGGGCAATTACGTGACAGGTACGCGTGCGCGTATTTTAATGAAAGAAACTATTCGTCTTTTATTGCATAACGTTTGGCTGAATATCTTACATTCTAACGAAATCTCGAAATAATTATTTAATTACAAGCAGTGTCGAACTGACCAGTAGGAATTATGTTTCAATGCGATTGAGGAAAACGCGAGTGAATATTGTGACACTAAAGCAACTTTTAACTGCACTGTCACTTTTGGTATGAAAATGGTAATAGTTAAGAAAAACGTAACAGCCTTCTTATGATAATTCTCATATTCTCATTAGTACGTTGTATCTAATTACAGTGTCGGCCTTATTTACAGGTGATTCTACAATACTTGTTGTCGGTCAATTACAATCTGCCACACCACGCGTGAATAAACAGTTATGCAGGTGTTGCTGTGGGCAAATACCTAGCCTGTACATGTATATTTTTGTGGATACATGTATTACATATTTTCGTTGATATGTGGATATATTAAACACCAAGACACAAAAAGTTTATGAAAGATGAATTTGTGCCTTGATATATATATATTCAACGCGAACTAAGCTTGTATTTTCTCCGCGATCCTGATGTGTATCATCGTTTAATTTGTCATTCATTAAAAGTATGTTGTGAGGCGATATCAAAGGAGCCGCTCAATATACGCAGTGTCGTCCGTTTCGCGTGAACTACCACCCTACCCTGTCAGTAAGAGTTATGTAATCGGTACACAAATATATTTGGTGCGATGTCAGTGTGGAAGGAGTTTGAATTACGTCCACCAGTGGCCACAGAAAGTATAGTACCAATCAACAAGGCCAATGCCGTACTAATAACCTAGTGACTCGCGTAACAACGGCTGTCAATATGTCTGCTACATCTACCATACCATCATCCCTGTCACAACTGGCGTATTAACGGCTTATTCAAAATATTAATTGTAGAAATGTCGTTACCAGACTAACGTACGTCGTATTCAGTCCTCAACTGGATGTTACATTCCTTATATCAGTTAACAGCCCTGTTTGTGAAAATATTTACTAGACATAAGATTTAAAGATTAATAAAATCAATTGTAAGACCGCATAGACCATAAAACCGAATAAAATATGTCTTGGTATCATCTCTTGTGTATTAGATGATGGCAATGACCGGAAATGTTATAACGTTAGATTAAGAAGGAGAAACATTAAAGTGTTTTACAATACTTGGAAACATGAGCAATAAGATGTAGCAACATAAACATGCATGGAATAGGGAAAAAGGATGAAAACAAATTGAAAAGGATTTTAATATAAAATTATCGAACTAAATAACTTGCCTGAACAGAAAGGGTACCCAAACTTGTTTGACAGTTATTCGTGTGTTGTAGACAGTCGAA